AGACTGCAGTAAGTGGAACACACTCTGTTTCTGAACAGTTTCATCAACGTCAAAGTAAGTATAAAGCCGAACTCGGAAAAGAGTGCATTGACCACCTGAGTAATGAACTTGTGGGCAGTGAATTGTTGAATCCAATAAATGTCACCTGGAAGAAGCTAGAGATGAAAGGATTCAGGACTGTAGTGAACCATGATGGGCTTGGTGTGTGTACGTAGTCTCATGACATGCATGAAATGACGTAACCTTAAAAAGAATCCTCCTACACAAAGACAGAACACAAGGACACTTCATGGAATCTTCTCAGCCACTGAATGACATGGACATTAGCGACAAAGTCAGGAGAATAATGTGGGATTGGCAGTGTGAAAATTCTCAACATCGAGAGTAAACAAACCCATTTTCCAACCAAGTCTCAAACTGCGAAATGAAATTCTCACTCGTGAGTGGTAACAGGCTTATTTGCATCCTTTGGCATATATTACATATCATTTACAGTTAATGTCACCTCATTAATATGCCATTTCCCACAGCATAGAAACTGGACAGTGACAATTCCTAACATGCAAGTCAGACCTGGCATCTCCAGCTTGCCACTCGCTTCTCTCAACCTCCACCTTGGACAGAAGTCACCAGTATCTCAGGATACATTCCATGGAAAACAGTCACTCAAAGCCTTAATCCCTGTAGTTGGGAATCTGACATGTACCAGCCTCATCACACCCTCATATGTGGCCATGGAGTTTAACTTAGATAACTGTGAGGTGCTGCATTTTGGAAAGGCAAATTAGGGCAGGACTTATACACTTAATGGTAAGATCCTGGGGAGTGTTGCTGAACAAAAATACTTTGGGGGGAATTTATAGTTCCTTGAAAATGGAGTCATAGGTAGACAGGGTAGTAAGAAGGTGTTTGATACAATTGCCCTTATTGGTCAGTGTATTGAGTAGGAATTGGGAGGTTATGTTGAGGCTGTACAGGACATTGGTTAGGCCACTTTTAGAATACTTATTCAAGTCTGGTCTCCATACTATGTGAAGGGTGTTGTGAAACTTGAAAGGGTTCAGAAAAGGTTTACAAGGATGTTGCCAGGGTTGGGGGGTTTGAGCTATAGGAGAGCCTGAATTGGCTCGGGCTATTTTCCCTGGGGCATCAGAAGCTGAGGGGTGACCTTATAGAGGTTTATAAAATCATGAGGGGTATGGATAGGGTGAATAACTAAGGTCTTTTTCCCTGGATAGGAGAGTCCAAAACTAGTGTGCATAGGTTTGAGGTGAGAGGGGAAACATTTAAAAGGGACCTAAGGGACAACGTTTTCACGCAGAGGGTGCTGCATGTACAGAATGAGCTGCCAGCTCTTGAGGCTAGTACAGTTACAATATTTAAAGGGCATCTGGATGGTCACATGAATAGGAAGGGTTTAAAGGGATATCAGCCAAATGCTGGCAAATGGGGTCTAGATTAATTTAGGATATCTCATTGCATGGATGAGTTGGACCGAAGGATCTGTTTCTATGCTGTACATTTCTATGACTCTGTGTATTGTCTCTGACCCACTTATGAAATGATTCTGCATTTCTGTGCTACATTTGGAATGCTCTGGCACCTCTTATTGCATTGCTGCTGCTGCCAGGACTCTGCCCACAGATACCCAGCTCATAGACCAGGGTGCTCCTCAGGGGTCCTCGTGTGGTCTCTTAGTGCTCACTCACTTTGTGCCTGCTTGGTTCTCATAGCACCCTTGCCTTTTGTTTTTAATTATTCATTCACAGGATGAGGGTGTCACTGGCTGGGCCAGTATTCCCATCCCCAGTTGACCAGAGGGCAGTTAAAAGTCAACCTCATTGCTGTGGGTCGGGAGTCACATGTAGGACGGCAGTTTCCTTCCCTAAAAGGCATTTTCCCTGACAATTGTTCATGGTCATCATTAGATATCTTAATTCCAGATTTTTTTTTCAACTGAATTCAAACCGGATTCAACCTTGGGTTCCCAGAACATTACCTGGGCCTCTGAATTAGCATCGGCTCTTGCCTTGCTTTGCGTCATCTTTTTGCACATTTCTCCCTCAGCCAGAGGTTAAATGCCACAGTACTTGTGTCCTACCTTGCCTTGCCTTTTATCGCAGACACAAAATCAGGCAGTTTGTCGTGGCTCTCAGCAGTGGTCAGTCAAGTAGGTAGACATAATTAGCAACTCCTTTGTCTGTCCAACCGTCTTTCTCTCTCTTCGGGCTCTATCCTATCGTTTACTCCCTACCCCACCCACCTCCCTATTTTCTGCATATAAACTGACGTTTTCCCAGCCACCATCAGTTCTGAGGAAGGCTAACCGGACCCGAAACTTTAACTCTGTTTTCTCCTCCACAGATGCTGCCAGACCTGCTGAGCTTTTCCAGCAACTTCGTTTTTGTTCCTGATTTACAGCATCTGCAGTTCTTTTGATTTTTATTTAGGTAGATATAATACTGTCCAGCAGTATACTACACCAATCCCACACGTGCACGTGTACCAGCAGCTTACACAGCAAACATACAGCATGTACTTCAGGCAAATAGCCATATTTCAGAGTCTAGTCAAACACTTAAAGACTCTCAAGTCTTGTCTGACACCAGTCAGGAAGTCCCGGCACAATAAGTCAAGGGTAGCCTCTGATCTCAGTCTGGGGCTTAGGCACAATCAGTTGGCCACTCGGAGTGGTCAGGGGATCCATGCCCCTCCAATCTGTGGACTACAGTCAGCTCTTCCGGTCTAGTGCAAATAGTGTGGGGAGTCGCAGGAAGTCAGTTGGGAAGCTGCACAGATTTCGGCCAGGAGTCTGGTCAATCATTAGTTGGGGCTGTGTGTCCAATTCAGTCAATGGGATGGGCCACAGACAGTCCTAGGAGTTTGTCCGCTACATGTCAAGGTGGGGTTATCAGAGTCAACTGTGGGACTTGGAGGCAATATGCTGGGCTTCAGGGGGAATAATAATTGTGAAGTGATGGGAAAATCAACATATAAGTGGGGGAGGCAATAGAACACAGAAGAGAAGGGGGTAATGTGGGTGTTGGGGCATCAACAGACACCAGCCTGGTTGCATTGGGGGACCGGACATGGCTATATCTGGCATAACAAGGTGTGGAGCTGGAAGAACACAGCAGGCCAGGCAGCATCAGAGGAGCGGGATAGCTGACGTTTCGGGACTGGACTTTTCTTCAGAAATTTCTGAGGAAGTGTCCAGACCCGAAACATCAGCTTTCCTGCTCCTCTGATGCTGCCTGGCCTGCTGTGTTCTTCCAGCTCCACACCTTGTTATCTCAGACTCCAGTATCGGCAGTTCCTACTATCTCTGGCATGTTGACCTAGCAGGGGCTCAAGAAGTAATGTGGGAAGATGAACAGTTAGATGAATGGATTTGGTGGGAATGTGGAGAAGTTCAAAGGATTGACGAGGGTAGGCAACTAAGAAGGGAATGTGTACATTTGAATGTTTGTCAAATGTAAGAGACTGAGTCTGAAATGCACTGTGTGAAGCACAACTGCTGTTTCCATCCTACCGTGATGCAAATCTTTAGTGTGCAAAGGAGATGGAAGTGGCTGCCACCACACCCTGAGAGGGCAGAGTAAGTCTTTCATTCTATGAGAGAGGTGTCTTCAGTATTGAGGGTTGTGAGGCCCTTCAAGGGGCAATAGCTTTACACATTCACCCATACAGTATTGGTGAAAGACAACTGTGAGCACTACATGGTGTAAGTGGACCGTGAATAGTAACCTAGTGTATGGCCTACACACCATGGCCCTAAGCACCCTTGACCAATCGATCAATCCCAGTAATGGCTGTGATGTACAAGCAATGTACTGCAGTCTGGAAAGATTCACCCTTGTTGCCAAAGTTGCAAACACGTTCCAAATTCCCATGGCTAGCCCACGCTGCTCACTTTCATACCTTGGATCATTGTGTTACATTAAGGATGATGAGACTGGCAGCGTTGGGTACTTCCAGCATGTAGGAAATTACAATGAATTGGACCTTAAAGGCATGCTGCATAGGTAAAGGTATACTTCAGAAGATAGCATGAGGAAACTCACTAGGCCTTGAGGAGAGAAACCCTCCAAAAAACTCATCAAAATTGACAATTAGCTGATTTCTGGTAAAATTAAGCAAATCTTATTTTTACAGTGGCTAGTTTTCAAACTTTGCCAAATTGTCTGACATTTTCATCTTTAAAATGTTCACTCTTTTGAATATGTTTGAAACCTAGATTTTCAAATTTCATGGTTTATGGTTTTAGCAATGGATAGCACAATCAGTGAGCAGTTTATGCTTCTTTGCAAACATCTGGGCAAAGATAATACAACATGCAGACTTTAGGTTTCAATATCTGCAGTTTGGCTGTTTACTGCTGATTGTTAGAGACTTAGCTGCTTCTTAAATCTTTTCATATGTAGACGATATAGATACAGCAGACAACCAAGGTCGATTAGATATTAGAATTGTACGTAAAATTGCAAGATATATGCTCACTTATCTTCAGTACATCAAGAACTAAGAAATTGCTTCCTTTAATTCATAATACACTGGTCATACGTATATACCAGAGCTGCCTTGTCTGCCAAAGCAGTTATTGCCTGTTCTGGGCTCTCCATTTTTATACCATGAAAGTTGTAGTCAGTTTATTTTATTTCAAAAATGTACTTTATTCATAAAAATATCTTTAGATTTATACATAGTCACAAACACAGCTTGGTTCTGTACAGTGGCATTTGAAGGAACAAAGACACATTGGAGTTTGACTGTAGCCAACAAGGCAAAGCCAAAGCATTTCTTCCTTGTGCTACTGCATTGATCTCCTCAGCATTCAAAATGCAGACTGTGGGGCCTCAGCTGCAAATGTTTTTGCTCTTCTCCCAACAGTCTAGATTTTACTGCAGTTCTTCAGTTCAAAATGCTCCCTTACACCTCAAGTGCAACCATATAATAAGTGTTTCAAGGTGTTAATGTGTACAGGTCATCCTTGTTTCTAGGAATACAAGGTGTCCAACTTCGAGCAAAGACTCATGAATGAAATTGAATTTCGCTTGGAGAGAACTCCTGTGGAGGAATCTGATGATGAAATACAACATGAGGATATTCCTACGGGGAAGTGCATCGCACCAATCTTTGATAAGAAACTCAAACATTTTCGAGTGGTTGAAGGATCGCCAGTGACAATGAGCTGCAAACTTGTGGGAATACCAGTTCCAAAAGTAAACTTTTTGCTATCTATGATTGTTAACATTATGGTGGGACCCAGCTCCCACAATGCTTGCTATAGTCATTATTGTCCAAATATTTAATACATTTTATGTAAATATATATTTGCTATAAAGGGATCTTGTAGTATTGTCCCTACCTCTGGGCCAGACTGCCCAGGTTCAAATCCCATCTAACCCGGAGATGATACATAACATGTTTAAACAAATTGATTGAAAATGTTTTTACTTAAAAGACTTGCTGCAAAAATGCCATTCATACAAGTTTACAAAATTAGTTCTTCTATTTTACAACTCAAGGTATACTGGTTTAAGGATGGAAAACAGATTTCCAAGAAGAATGAGCATTTTAAGAAGAAGCGTGATGGTGATGGTACATGCTCACTGTATATTGAATCAGCCACTAATGATGATGACGGAAACTACACAGTTATGGCCGTAAATCCCCAGGTAAGCATCAGAATCTTCTAACCGGAATGTATAATTTCTCAGTTCATCTTCTGTTTGTGTTGTGATCTGTACCATTATAGAATAATAAGATGCATTTTTGTTTTGGAAAATACTAATTGTGCCTATTCAAATAGCAAATTATGTGTGAGGTGAGGATATCCTGTTTTCCTGCCCCCTCATCATCATTTACCCATTATGTAGTTACACTCTGAGGCCATTTAGCAATCAACGTTATCCCACCCCATCCAGTAGCTTGGTCTAAGTTCTATAGAGTATATGTATAAATTCTAAGATCCATATGGTCACCTTTGCCTGATATCTCTTAATATTTTGGGTTAATCTTTAGTTTTCTCTCTCACCTCCTAATGGATCACATTTTCCCTAATAAATTGTTGCTCACAAACTACCCTTTTCCTTAAGACTTTGTGATTACTGCTAACTAAAGAGTATGGATAAGCCATTTTAGATAATCCACCAACGCTATCAGACAGACAAGCTTACCTTTACTTTTCCCTTTAGTTTCTAGAGTAATTTTCAAAGGGATATACATATCTGGGGATATTTTACTCTAAAGCATTCCCCCATTTTTTGAGCACAATAAAAGTCTTAACGTGAATGAACAGTCTCCTGAGATCTAGCATTTCCAGGTCTCTTCGTCTTGTGTTGATCCAGGGCAGTTGTCTGAGAGCCAATCTGGAAATGTCTAAGTACGGAACACTTTACATTAGTTGCACGTGCGTTAACACATGCACAGCATCATCTTGCCACATCAATAAGCAGGATAAGGTAAATGGCCTTCTGCTGTTTCCGTCTTCCCAAGGGAGAGAAACAGCCCGTGACAAATGAGTCATGTGCCTAAATTTTCTAAGTGGTTTCTCCAGTGGGAGATTGTTTGAACCCTTAAGAAACTGTGAAAATGACTGAGATCAGGCTTTCTGCTGTATTTCCATGTTTCCCCCCAAGGTTAGAATGAGAAAGCCCTGAGGGGAAGTGTTGCAGGCTAGGAGATAACTATAGGCTGCTCTGGGTAAAGTATTCTTTAGATTGAATGCAATGTTATGGATTCAATTCATTGTTACTGTAATACTTCTCTGACCTAAACCTATTGTGAATGTATTAAGCTGCTGTCTTTCACCTAGGGAAGAAACAGTTCCTCTGGTCATCTCTTGGTACAGAATACTCCAATACGTGGCCGTATAGTACCGTCAGTTCAGAGCAAAGGGTATGTTTGCCTTTGAGTTGTGAAGTCCAGCCTATTTTGTTCTGTTCTTTGGGTTTACATTTCTTTTCTCATAAATTAATAAGCATTTTGGGTATATTAACTTATCAATAATCTATCAACGTCTGCTACATACAATGACATATTCAGTCATTTTGAACATTGACCCACAGTTTTAACATGGGTTAATATTGTGGCAATTATAAAAACAGCAATGAAGGTCCTGAAGGGTGATACATTTAACCCTGTACACACTGCAATTTGAATACATAAGCCCTTACATATGGAGGAGCTGTTCAGCCCAATGTGTCAATTGTACTGTACAATTTAATTATGATTAATTTGTATTTTAATATCATCTAACTGCATTGTTTCTATATCCCTTATATTATGAGGCTATTAGGAATCATTAAATGTTCAAAGAAGTAATCTGAACACTAATTAATTGACAGAACTATGCTACAAGATCAATGTTTTTTAAATTGAAAACAACCTTTATTGTATAGCATAGAAATTAAACAAAGTTGGCAAAACCAATCGAAAGACATTTGCAATTGATTCAGTTATACTTTTTATTTCATCCTAAAAATTTGCTTTCCTCCTTAAATCTCGATCATTTTTCCTCACTGCATTTGAATCAATGTGTATCTCACGCTCCAGCAAGCACTCCAATTTCTCTTCATTCTCCCAGGTACAAGGTTTGCTGAGAGTCCTTCCATTAGCCATAGGCTTAGTGAACGTCCAATTTCTTCATAGACCTCACAACTCTGGATTCCACAGCTCCAACCAGGCCTCCCCAAGACTCCTATCCAGACGCTTTAAAAATCAGAAAACACCACTAGTTTTTAATAACCCACTGCTATTACTTCCAGACCTGCAATTGCAACAATGTTTAACTACATTTTATTGAGAGAATTTCCAGCAATAGTGCTGAAGACTTAATCTAGTCGGGTCCCTAGCTGAGCTATTCCAGTACAACTACAACGCTGACATCTACTCAACAATATGGAAAATTGACAGTTATGTGTGAAACACAAAATGTAAGACAAATCCAACCTGGACAAAAACCACTTTATCAGTCTGCTCTCAATCCATCAGTAAAGTGGTGGAAGGGGTTGTTGACAGTGCTGACAAGAACCACAGCAGTAACCTGCTTACTGACATAGTTTGGGTTCCACCAGAGTCATTCAGCTCATATCCGCATTGCAGTCTTGATCGAGCATATATGCTGATGATTGTAAAATGTTGAACATTATTCACAATTCCTCATATACTGAAGGATCATATGTCCATATTCAGCAAAACCTTCACTTGGATTTGGGTTGATAAGTGGCAATTAACATTTGTGATACACAAGTGCAAGGCAATGACCAACTCCAACAAGAGAGAATCTAATTATTGTCCTTGATTTTCAATGACATTCCCAATGTTGAATCCTCCACAATCAACTTTCTGAGAATTACCATTGACTAGAAACTGATATAGACTATCTATATATATACTGTAGCTACAAGAGCAGGTCAGACACTAAGGATTCTGTGCAAGTACTCACCTCCTTTCTTCCCAATGTCTGTTCACCATTTACAAGGCACAAGTCAGGAATGATGGAATTTCAATTTTTATGGATGAGTACAGCTCCAAAAATACTCAAGAGGCTTGACACCATCCAAGACAAAGCCCATTTGATTGGCACCCCATCCTCCCCCTTCAACATTCCCTCCCTTCATTGCAGACATAAAGTAGCTGCAGAGTGCACCATTTACACAATGCACTGCAGTAACTCACCAAGGCTCCTTCCCCAGCACCTTTCAAACATATGAATTCTACCACTTGAAAGAACAAGGGTAATGGATAGATGAGAACGCCATCACCTGCAGGTTCCTCTCCAAGCTAATCACAATCCTGACTTGGAAATATATTTCCATTCCTTCACTGTTGTTAGGTCAAAATCCTGGAATTGCCTGCCCAACGGCACTTCAGATATCCTTGCACTCCAAGGACTGCAGCAGTTCAAGAAGGCAGCTTATCTTCAGGACAACTAGAAGTGGGAAATAAATGCTCATTCAGACAGTGACACTCTCACCCCTTGAACAAATAAACTTAAAAGCTCTAGATTTCTTCAGCTTCCAGCTGAATAAATCTTCCCATTGTTTCTCCCTTACACTGAATACATACTTCCATACATAGACTCCCATCATGGACAATACTTCAGGAAGACATCTGGCTTTAACTGTGGACTGTCAAAGATCTACAAGCTCTGTAAAACCTAAAGCTGACGCAATCCACAATGCTTTCCCAAACATTAGCCACTCTTAGCTACTGGCTATTGTCTTAGAGAATTCGCAGAGAGAACTGAAACAATCTCACTAAGCACCACTAATCACCATGCCAATGCGACAAACACGTGTTCCCAGGTAGTTACGCTAATGAACTATCTTAGATAGATGTCACCAATTGTCTTGATTTTTTACCACCCTTGAGTAGGATTAAATGGAGAAAGCTATGGTAATCTATCTATTCCCATCTACATCAAAAACAAACCTTTCACTTGATTGATGTGCTGAATCTTATACCTGAATACAAGGCATTAACAGTTGAAGTATAATTCCTCTATCTACAGTTATTTATCTCAAATATTTAAATATTTTGTTCCCATCAGTGGAAGGATCAAGAACCAAAGGACCCCAACTTAAATGATTGGCAAAAGAAGTAATTGTGTCATGAGGAATTACACCTTTATGCAAGCAAGTGGTTAGGGTCCCTGTAATGTGGTCTGGCAATGTGGTTGGGGCAGATCACGGTTTTCATAAGAAAAATGGATCATTATCTGTAGAGTAAAGAATTACAGGGCTTCAGGGAAATGGCAAGAGAGCAGGGGTCAGCTGAATTGCTCTTGCAGAGAGCTGGCACAGAAACGACAGGGCAAATAGCCTCCTTCTGTGGTGTAACCATGTTACAATCCTATTTTTGTTTCTTCTCCTTGATGCTTTTTTTCCCACTACAATTGCAGAATGCAACTTCTAAATCATCCAACGACAAGCCATTGATGAGATGTAAAAACGATAAAAATAGTAACAGTACCAACAAAGAAAACGGACAGCTGGCTAGAATTAGAAACTGAAATTCATAGTTCAGAGGAGTAATCAGATTGTTGAAATAATGGTCCCTGAGTAGGAAGTAAAAATATGTAATGCTTACAATAATTTAAGTTGCGAAATAGACTTCACACTGACCCAACAAGTCAAAAATAACAACATATAGCTAAAGCTTTTCTTGGACTAATGTTCACAGTGCATTTTTTTATATTTGACAGCACATTTCACTGCTAGCATTTTACTGAGACAGAAATCAAATGAATAACATGTAATTGTCCACAATGATTCAATTTGTGATGTATTAAATGACAGGACAAGGTCTCGTGTATCCCAGGGAGAAGAACCTGTACAGGAGCGTTTCTTCTGTCCCCATTTTCTTCAGGCTCCCGGTGACATGATTGCCCATGAAGGTCAGATTTGCCGATTGGACTGCAAGGTACAGAGTACAAATGACAAGACTGAAGAACTCTTGTCTACAATGTATCCTGGTATTGCCTTCTTCTGTTGTTTCACATATAAGGAAATGGAAACCACAGGTATTTTACAATGAACAACCAACACTTATTGTCAGGTCAATTCCCAAGGAAGGAGGAATTAACTCAATACAAACTAGCAGAAAATTAGTAGTTATTTTTAAGATTAAGGAACTGACATTTGAGCTTATTTTGCCTCTATCATTCTTTGAGAAGTTTTTCTGTGTATTCTTGTAAAATTTGAGAGTGTTTCTGTGACTGAAAGATTGCTGTTGAGGAAAGACAGTTCATAGATTCACAGCATCATAGAATCATGTGGTAGAGAATAGGCCCTTCAGCCTATCAAGTCTGTACTGCCAAAAGATATACTACTACCTACACTAGCCCCACTTTCCTGAATGAGACCCATAGTCTTGAAGGTTATGACACGTCAAGCGCTCATCCAAGTGCATTTTAAGGGTTGTGAGGTTTCTCATCTCACCTACCCTCTCAGGCAATGTGTTCCAGACCCCCACCACCCTCTAGGTGAATTTTTCTTTCCTCAAATCCCCTCTAAACCTCCTGCCTTTCACTTTGAAGTTATGCCTCCTTGTTGTTGACCTTTCAACCAAGGGGAACAGCTGCTTTCTATTCACACTGCCCGTGCCTCTCCTAATCTTAAACACTTCAATTAGGTCCCTGTCAATCTTCTCTGCCCCAACAGAAAGCAACCCAAGCTGAACCAGCCTCACTTCAGAGCTGAAAACTTCCATCCCAGGCAACATCCTGGTGAATCTCCTCTCAACCCCCTTCAGTGGGTGGAGAGGATTTTGATGTGGATTCTCTCAGAGCAGCAGTGATCCCAATGATGGACAGAATGAGCCTGCCTTGGCTGTTTTGGGAGGCCTTGAGAGATTTTTGTACCTTACCTACTGCTGTTGAGCTGCTGTCAGGTTCTCACTACTTTGTGGGCCAAAAGACAAAACCCAGGAGCTATCACTGCAAGGAAAGTGAGATTGGGGTCACCAGTGCCAGCCAAGCAGGTAAATGACAGGTAGTGCTCATAGTGGAGAACTGAAATCAAAATAGAAAGTGCAGGAGAAACTCAGCAGGTCTGGCAGCATCTGTGAAGAGAGAAAAAGAGTTAACATTTCAAGATCTTCTTTGGAAGTTTTTCTTCTCTTCAAGTTCTTCAAGGCTGTTCTTTGTAACTGAAGGGCGCTGGACATTGATACCTATTTTGCTGTTAACAATTAGAATTAAGTGGGACAGATGGTGAGGATGCCCAATGCGAAAGACAAAAGGAGTGCATACATAAAGATATGGAATAGGTGTTGATGGTGGATATGAATTGTAGAAAATAGATCATCTCTGCTGGGATATGCAATCAAAGTGAAGGGAAATATCATGGTTTGAAGTTGTTGAATTCAATGTTGAGAGCTGAAGGCTGTGAAATGCCTAAGCAAAAAATGCGGCACAGCTCCTCCAGCTTGTGTTGGGCTTCACTGGAGCACTGTAGCAAACCTAGGGCCAAAACATAGAAAATAGGTGCAGAACTAGCCCATGTAACCCTTTGAGCCTCCTCTGCCATTCAATATGATCATGGCTGATCATGGTTGACATTTTTCACCCAATATCCTTTGAACCGTTTAGGCCCAAGAGCCAGATTCAATTCCTTCTGAAAATCATGCACTGTTTTGGTCTCATCTACTTTGTGTGGTACCAAATTCTGCAGGCTCACCACACTCAGGGTGAAAAAATTTCTCCTCATTTCAGTTCTAAATGTTTTACCCCGTATCCTTAGACTGTGACCCAGTTCTGGACTCCCCCGCCATCAGGAACATCCTTCCTGCATCTACCCTCTGTAGTCCTATTAGAATTTTACAGGTTTCTGTGTGATTTCACACCCCGCGCCCCCATTTTTCTGAACTCTAGTGAATATAATGCTAACCAATCCAACCTCTCCTCATAAATCAGTCCCACCATCCCTGGAGTCAGTCTGGTAAACTTTCATTGCTGTCCCTCTATAGCAAGAACATCCTTCCTCTGATATGGAGACAAAAACTGCACACTATATTCTAAGTGTAGTCTCACCGAGGCCCTGTATAATTGTATAATCCTGTTGGGGAAATTGATGGGATTGAAAGCTGATAAATCCTCAGGGCCTGACAATCTATGTATTGGCAAAACGGTTGTGAGTGGAGTCTGGAACACATAAAGAGCTAGGCATAACTGGATCCATGTGGGGATTCACAGCCATACCTTAGATTTGGAAAAAGTGAGATGAGATTGAGGAGAAATTATTCAAAGTGAGAACAAATTCAGCATGGCAGAGGAGGGTTTTAGTGGACAGGAATGGTTTAAGCCTCTTTCCAAGGAAGAAGCAGAGAACCTGAAGACCATCCTGATGGGGAGTAGATGCATAGAGTGATTGCACATCCATGGTGAGGAGGAGGCTGCTAGGACCAGGAAACTGGAAATTATGGAACCAACATGAAGTGTAAGAAAGATCATAATTGGAAGTGGGAAGAGCCTGGTCAATGGGAGAAAAGTAGTGTTAGATAGGAAGAAATAAGTTCAGTGGGGCAGGAACGGGCTGAAAGATTGAGTCAGCCAGGGAAGTCCTGTTTGAGCATTTCGGGAAGAAGGTAGAAGTGGGCTGTGTGGGATTGGGGGCTATGAGGTGGGAAGCTGAGGAGATCACCAAAGGGGATAAGGTCAGTGATAGTCCTGGAAACAACAGCTTGATGTTCAGTGAATGGGCCATTATCCAGGGATATCCAGTCAAGCTGGCAACTAAGTGGTATTGGGAGTAGAGTTGATGAAGTGTGTGTGTATGTGTCTGCGTGTGTGTGTCTGCGTGTGTGTGTGCGTATCTGGTCTTCTTTGCATCAAGAGTTCCATGTTAGAAGAATACCTGACCCTACTCCTGTGGGCACACAAAGAGGCTGCCAGGGTTCACTGTGCAGTCTCCCCAAAGGGGAAGGACCTACCACCTGGTGGTAAAATGCCAGCAAGGGCACAAGTCTGTGGGTGGGAGAAGCAGCCTCCATCTTCCTCTCCAGCAGCAAGCAATATTGGTGGAATGGCAACAGTCCCCTCCCATTCACTCCTCATTTGGTACATCTCACCTCCTGCCCTCCTCCTGCAAATCCAATAAAACCCACCCCAATAATATCCACTGCATTTTAGCACAGCAGTCATCACCAGTTCAACTCGAACATTGGAACTGGAATATTTATCACGTGACTTTTCTCATTGCCAAGTTCTTCTGTTTGGTACATTGCAAATTAGTGGAATGTTAAAAAAGTAAAAAACTCCTCATGTAGTTTCAGATCTTGACCAACAGAATGGTGAAATGACCAACAACAAATAGCATCAAAACTGTCATTAGTGACAAACGTCTTGACCTCTTTATCTTGGTCAGAAACTGAATTGTTGAAATTGCACATTTGGAACTGACAACCACATAATAGCAAGTGCACTTTCCAGTACCTCATGACAAATTGCAGCAGCTATTTGTGAAACACTGCATATGGATATTGTGAAGATAGCACACTATTATTATGAAATTGCTGAACGGTGTTCTCATGATACTTTGTATGTAATAGTTCTTTGTCTGGTTATATGTGAGGTTTGATTTTAGGAGATGGTAAATCAAAGGCTCCCTTATGTGCAAGATTTGCTGAAAATATGTTTTTTGAGGCTATGAGTTAGAAGTATACAAGCAGAAAATTTATCCTATTTTATCATTGTGCACATGATTGCACTTTTTTTGAAATGAATGTGACAAAAATCTTCTAAAATTAGCAGTTTGAAATAACGACAGATAATCATGGTGATACCTAATACCTGAAAAGAGAAAAGATGTTCTGGCAAAAAATCTGTAGCCAGATGATAAATTAATCATTCCTTTCGTCATATTTTATAAAGGCCTGCTACATATTTCTAAAACTTCAAAGAAGTTCCTGCTGTACATTGGTCCCACTTGTTCTAAAATTATTTGTTAAAAGAAACTTACGACTACTGTTCTAGCCTAAGGAAAGACATGCTTTGAGTTGTTTTGCAGATTGTTCGAGTGAGGATTACCTAGGAGATTGTTCCTAATGTACATTCTGATAATGCAGTGTGCTGAGAACTGTAGACCAGGTGTGATTTTCACTGACAAACTGATTCAGGAAAGGGTAGCATCCCAAATTCTAGACTTTAGAATTTCAGACTTTTGAGTAAAAGAATAAATAAAGGTTCTTTGCAGCTTAAGAATGGCATTAATAGGTCCATATTTAATAAGAAAAGAGAAATAGTATACTCATGATCTGGTGACCAGCTCTTTTCCCTCTGTAGGTGCTAAGTGTTGCTATCATTTTCTGTCATTTTAACCTTTTAACAGCGAAAGTCCCTTTACTTTTTATCTTTACAGCAACAGGATGGATCATGAGTCATCCGCTCACTCGAGAAGATACTGAAGATAAATAAAACTAGGTCAGATCGAGGGCCACAGGATCTGATGGTCAGATCGAGGGTCACAGGATCTGATGGTCACATTGAGGGTCACAGGATCTGATGGTCACATTGAGGGTCACAGGATCTGATGGTCAGATTGAGGGTCATAGGATCTGACGGCCGGATTGGGGGCCACAGTTGTACTTTGCCTGTATCTCATTCATACGTTACGTGTACTAACATAATTACTGACTCGTCAGACACAAATATCCTGCTGAAGATAAAAAGTGCATCAGGATCGTGAGGGCAAGACAATGAGGGAAGGATTAAAATTAGAGCTGTTCCGGAGGCCAGAATTAGATTAAGAGCATGATTGTGAAACTGCTGAATAAAGGAAGGGACAAACAAATTGAGGGATTTGAAACAAGTTTAATGGTTTAAAATCAAGACATAGCTTGGCCAGGACTCAGTATAGGTCAGCAAGGACTGGGATGACAAGTAAACAGGAGGTATCAAAAAGTACACAAAAACAGGAGTAGGCCATTCAGCTCATAGAGCCTGTCCCACCATTCAAAGATATCATGGCTAACGTGGCCTACCTCCATATAGCTGCCTTTGGCCCATGTTCCTTAATACCTTTGCTTAACAAAAAGGTATTTATCTCAGTCTACAGAGGTTAGAATATGGGGCAGTGTTAGAGTAGTTAAGTATGGATGTAACAAAGATATAAGTCAGGGCTCAGCTGCAAAGGAGCTGAGAACAGCGGTGAAGTCAGGTAATGTTACTGAGGGGCAGAAAATCAGTTTTAATGATGCATGTATCTGGTCAGAAGCTCATCTCAGGAGATCAAATATAACACAAAGATCTCAAAATCTTTGGTTTAGCCATAGATAGTTGCCAGGGAGAGGGATGGAGTCAGTAGCCAGGGATCAGAATTTGGAGCAGGAACCCAAAACAATATTTCAGCGGGTGCCATTCTGCTCAGGTAGTACTGGATGTTGGACAAACAGTCCGATCACTTAGCAAAAGTGAAGGGATTGAGCTCAAAGTCATCAGCAGTGCGGGGAAAATAATGCTGATTTCGAATGATAATCAAGGGGAAGAATATAGATGAGGAATGGGAGGGATCCAAAGCAGCTTATTGGAAGGGAAGGCCAGCTCTCAGTCTCAGTGACAAAGAAGTCCATGAGTGGCATAGTGGCTCAATGGTTAGCACTGCTGCCTCACAGCAGTGAGTTTGCACATTTTTCTCATCTGCATGGGTTTCCTCCAGGTGTTCCGGTTTCCTCCCACAGTCCAAAGATGTGCAGGCTGGGTGGATCAGCTATGCTAAATTGCCCATAGTGACCAGGGATGTGCAGGCTAGGTGGGTAGCCATGGAACATGCAGGTTTACAGGGACAGAGTAGGGAGTGTGGGTCTGAATGGGATGTTCTTCAGAGGGTCGGTGTGGACTTTATGGGCTGAGTGGCCTGTTTTCACACTGCAAGGATTCTATGATTCTATAAGCTCTTTCAGACTTGTTGGAGATGAGAATGGAGGAGTTAAGGGAATGGTCTTTAACCTGAAGGTTTGCAGTTCATAAAGGAAATCCGAAGTTATATCTGTATTCTGTTGTGTTCTGGAATACTGAGCAGTTTTAACAGACAAGAACAGGAGCCTGTATTGCTATACATGGTCTTGCCAGATCTGAACCAGTTGGCTGCCATATCCTTTTAAGGCAATGTTCCTTGGTTTCAGAGGAAGAGATGAATGAAGATTGTAGATTCTCAGTAGCTTCGTTTAGAGACTCTCAACACAGCAATGTGTTTCAGCTGATCTCACTTGGTCACTGTAAGGTCCTCATGTACACCCCAGGATTCACCTATGTATCACAAGGTTATTGATTTGGAAAGCTACAGTTGCCAGAAGATTAGAAGATCAGTTTTCTTAAACTTTGCAAAGCCACAAGCACTTCGTTATCAAGAGATTTACCCTTTATTAAACACCTTCCCTTTTTCTTCAGGTGAGTGGGCTGCCAAATCCTGACCTCATGTGGCTGCTGAATGGTAAACCGATCCTGCCAGATGCTACCCACAAGATGCTCGTGCGTGAGAATGGAATTCACTCCCTCTTGATTGATCCCCTCACACCAGCAGATGCAGGGACTTACACATGCATTGCAACAAACAAGGCAGGACAGAGTTCCTTTAGCTTGGAGCTGTCTATTGTAGGTAAAGTATATTTTGTACATTTGTGAGTGATATGCGATTTTCAGATAAACCAGATCATTTGTTAATGCCACTCAATCACTTGGTGCTCCTGCTAGAGGATGAAATTGAGCTTCCCCCTGCACTGCAGCACAGCTAGTCAAAGGTTGCTGACTATCTATTGAGGGGACCTTTCAGGACAAGCCTTGAGCATCTCCAGGTCTGGAAGGCAGCCCTGAAGATCGCTTAATTTCAGCAGCAAGGTGTGTGAAGGAAATGAGGCTTGTGCTTCATGAAGTAGATGCCGCTATGCTGTAGTGGTGCCTCTGCAACCCTGCTGACCTGTGGAACAGACCAAGGGACTGATATATTGCCCTGAAACCCTCTACACACCCAAAATCCAGATGGGACAAATCAGAAATTGTTGTGGTGCTACAGTGGAAACTGTTGAGGTGAACCATCATGGTGGGGTGAAGCGTATTGATGGTGGTGATGACCTGTGTCGAGTTGGATGGAATGGGCTCCAGGCTCAGCAGAAAGACCTGTGCCAGGTTGGAGCTGGATGTCTCCATACTCCTTGAAGTACAGGCTTTCTGACTTTTCAGTTACCGAACATTAGCGTGCTTCTGCATCCTAGCTCATCAAAGTCTCATCTGAGTCCTTGCTGAAAAGCTTATGGCAACCTTACCTTCTGGTGAACTGGGAGCTGTACTGTCCTTGCTTATTGCCCAGTGTCTGACTACAGAAAGATCCACCACTCTATCCCAATCACCAAAATACTTACAGCCTCACTGTCTGAGTAGGTGGTTACAAGTGTTAAGTTATTGCGTGGTCAGTTCATCTTTACTGTCACCATTGCCTTTCTGCGCTGACTAGTAACTTCTTTAGTGTCTGAAATGAAGAGTCAAGTGTTGGGTTGTGATGAAGAGAGAGAAAAAGAAAGAAATGTGTAAATTCAGAAGAGATTGCAGGATGCAGGAAGTGGGATTGTGTATACAGTAATCCTCAGCTCATTAATGGACACAACATTAATGATACCTCTTCCCACGATAACCAACAATGTCTCAAGCATGCAAAGATGTTTGTCCTTCTCCAGTTCTTTCCTGTCACAGTGAGTCCTCACTTAACATTGACTCACTTAATGTTGTATCACTTTCACATTATTAAAAATGTACATCCATTTAACATTGCCAGTTTCACTGTTATCTACAGACTTTGTGTTTGTGGCCTACCTGCTCACATGACCTTTGCCCCCAGCACTTCTACTCTGACCCTCTCTTCCCCCACTGCTGCCATTGGCTCCCAGCCTTGCCTTCCACCAGACTTTGCCCCCAATCTTTCTGACACTCTAGCCTTGCCCCCTGTCCCCTGGGTCTTCAGGAACAAAAACAGAAGTTGCTGGAAAAGCTCAGCAGGTCTGGCAGCATCTGTGAAGAAAAAGTCAGAGTTAACGTTTTGGGTCCAGTGACCCTTCCTCAGCTGGGTCTTTAGCTTCTGTGCTGACTCCTGCTCTGAACTTGCAGTAACATCCTGGCCTCCACCCAGTGGCAGTTGTTGGTTGGTTCAGGTAGTCCTGAGACAGCTGAAAGCTGCACTGACATCTGAAGGTCACTTGACGAAGGAGCAGCAGACCAAAAGCTTGTGATTTCAAATAAACCTGTTGGACTACAACCTGATGTCGTGTGACTTCTGACCTAGTTTCAAATGAGGTCTTACTGCACCTCGTGTTATTCATCACCTTTTCTGAAGAAAGGTGGGAGTGTATCAGAGTGTGTCCTACACCATGTCTCGATGACATGGATGGTATAGGTGAAAAGTCATCAACATGAACAAGCTGTGTGTTTCAGATTCACAGGCCGCAACAGTAAAGACAAAATAAAGTAGCATGATTGAATATGATAATCGTGTTAGACATCATTGATAGGTGGATGATGGGGCTGAGGAGATTCTCCAGAGCTAATGATCTCAAGGTATTATCAGTAGATTATTAATCTAGAAATCCAGATAATGTTCTGGGGACCTGGGCTTGAATTCTACCATGGCAGATGGTGGAATTTGAATTCAGTAACAATCTGATTGGGCTAGAAGGGAAGTGGTGGAGTGATAGTATGTAACGGGGCTAGTAATCCAGATCTACCCCCCCGCCAGGCTATTTTTCTGGGGGCACGGGTACAAATCTCACCATGGTAGATGGCAGAATTTGAATTCAATGTCACACGTCCAGAGTGAAAAGCATGTCTAATGGTGACCACTGTAGGGAGGCGATGGCTTTGTGGTATTGTTGCTGGTCCAGAGACCCAGACATCCAGGTAATGTTCTGGGGATATGGGTTTGAATCCCATCATGACGGTGTGGGAGAGGATGGTGTTCGTGTGATGCAGTAGTGGTGTTCCTACCTCTGGGCCAGGAGGCCCAGGTTCAAATCCCACCTGCTCCAGAGGTGTGTTGTAACAGGTCTGGAGAGGTTGATTAAAATAACTGATCGGACTGGTGTGTATTCAATTACGGGTAAGTTCTTGTATTTCATGGAGTTCCCATGCACAGTTCCCATGCACAATTCCCACTCACACTGGAATAATGACTGTTTGGCTCTCGGAAATTGTACACTGTATTGCACTCCTTTTGTATTTAGTCATGTATTTTATTTTGCAGCTTTTTCATGGTAAATTCAAGCTGTCTGTGGAGGCATTAGATTACCACTCCTCAGAAAATCCAGCCCTACAATTATTTTTAAATTAGTGTGGTTAGATTGATCAGGCTCCATCTTGTGGCAACATTGGGTATTGGAGGAAGCTGCCAAATCCCAACACTACCTGCATTGCAACCTCTGTCCCCCATTAGACCACTCCAGTGTGAGCTCAGAATTTTAGTCTGTTATAAATGTTCGATGATTCTATAATCAGACAGGGCAGTAAGATGCCTGTGAGTTAGATGATGCTTTTATCTGATGACACATCACCAGATTGATCAACTGGCTGCTTCCTCGCTGTTTATGCTACTTACTTCTCTGAACATTAACACAAGTCAATCATTAGCCCTGTCACTTTGCTAGCTGTATCCTCCAGTCCTGATCTTGTCCTTTATACAATCATCTGACTGGCGGGTTCTGTTCCATCTGTCTACTCCCCCCTCCCCGTCCTGCTCGCTGTGCGTTCACAAAGGCAAAAGACTTTTCTGGTAGCAGATAGCATGGAATCTGCAGTCAAGTTATTTATGAGAGAACTGAGAGACTGGGAGGAAGGTGCAGGAGTTCAGTGTCACTGTGAAGCAAGTTGGCCAGAATATAAAAATGATGTGGAGGTGCTGGTGTTAGACTGGGGTGATGCCACCTCTCTCACTGACACCTGAAGAAGGAGTGAGACTCCAAAAGCTTGTATCCTATTGGACTATAACCTGGTGTCTTGTGATTTTTGAGAATGTAAAAACAAACAGCAACATTTCATAAGTATATAAAAAGGAAGAGAGTAGCTAAAGTGAGTGTGACACCCTTGAAGGATGCAACTGGGGAATTAATAACAGAGAACTAGGAAATGGCAGATAATTAAAAACAATATTTTGTATTAGTCTTCATGGTGGAGGACTCTATAAACATCCCAAAGGTAATAGATAAGCACGGTGCTAATGGGAGGAAATGTCTTATAACAGCCTGTCATGTGGAACAAAGTACTTGACAAATTTGACAAACAAATATTTGGTGGTACAGTGGTTCAGTGGTTAGCACTGTTGCCTCACAGCGCCAGAGACCCGGGTTCAGTTCCACCCTCGGGCGAATGTCTGTGTGGACTTTGCACATTCTCACTGTGACCGTGTGGGTTTCCTCCAGGTGCTCCAGTTTCCTCCCACAGTCCAAAAATGTGCACATTATGCGGATTGGCCATGCTAAATTGACCATAGTGAAGGCTAGGTGGGTTAGCCATAGAAAATGCAGGGTCACAGGAAGAAGATAAGGGGTTGGGTCTGAGTGGGATGTTCTTCGGAGGGGCAATGTGGACTTGAGGGGCTGAATGGCCTGCTTCCACACTGTAGGGATTCTATGAACTAATAGGACTGAAGTCACCAATTATGTTGGTATTTGAGGCAGTTCAAAGTACATTCATAAGCTGATTTCGGCAATGAAGGGGTGTCTTAACAAGAATTGCTATACAGGTTAGGCCTTCGTTCATTCAAGTTTAGAATAATGAGGAGTGATTTTATTGAAACATACAGGACTCTGAGGGTGATTGACAGAGCAGATATTGAGAAGATATTTCCACTAGTGAGGGAATCTTAAACGAGCAGACATAGTTACAGAATAATGAGAAGCTCATTTAAAACAGAGGCATGAAGGAATTTCTTCTCTCAGTGGGTAGCAAATTTATGGAATTCTGTACCCCAGAGAACTGTAGGCTGGATCACTGGAATTATTTAAAGTGTTTTTGAATTATCCAGGAGTTGAGGGCTATGGCACAAAGCAGAAGTTGAGACCTGGGTCAGATCTGACATGATGTTGATAAATGACCGGGCAGGTTTGAATGGCTTAATGGCCTACGCCTGTTCCTACTTGGTATGTTCTTCAACAATCCCTAGGCCTCTGTAATCCAGAAATGATTGCCTTTTATCATCTGGAATCCAAACTCTCAATGGAGGCAGATACCATATTGATGGGCAATGCTGCATCAATGCTTGAAATCCTCTGTCTTCAAGGGTTGCTCTGAAGTTTACCTGGCTATCATTCACTTCATAGTTTTGCGTACATTCCAAATACCTCTCATGCTTAAACAGATGTTATCAGAGTACCATCCATGCACACAGTCCTGTAGATCTCTGAAGACTCCAGCAAGGGACAAATCCAATGATCCATGAGCTGCAAAATTGGTTCCCATGTTCCACTCATCACCTTGCTACTCTTCCTCCACTCCACCCTACTCCCCTCAGTTTCTCTCAGTGCCTTATCAGGTTTTTTACTCCATGTGGCTGATATTAACTCACAACTAGTCCACACAGACACTTCATTTGTTCTACATCCCTTGTTACGTGTATCTAAG